CTCTGTCACACACAAGCAATAGAGAAGGAGTAATCAACATTTGTTGAATGTTAACCATCTTAATGGCTGGCACCACCCTGTAATCCTACGATTTGGGAGGCTGAGGCAGGAGGATTGCAAGGTCGGCCCCAGCTTGGACTACTTAGCAAGGCCCTGCCTCAGAATAAAAGAAAGAAAGAGAGAGGGGGAAATGGGAGGGAGGGAGGAAGAAGGAAGGAAGGAAGGAAGGAAGGAAGGAAGGAAGGAAGGAAGGAAGGAAGGAAGGAAGGCTGGTGACATAGTTTGCTGGTAGAGCACTTGTCCAGCATACATGAGACAGAAAAAACAAAAGATAATTGCCAAAGATCACCCAAAGGAAATAACTCAGCTCAAGTGATCAGAACCCCATATGCAAACTCACCACTGCTTTGTAGCCTTTGGAGTCATCATACCTAAATTCAAATCCAGCCTCTGACTGTTGGTGGATATGTGGCTTTAGACAAGTCACTTGATCACTGTGAAATGTCCCCCATGGGCTCATGTGTTTGAACACTTGGTCTCCAGCAGATGGTGCTATTTTGAGGTTTTAGAGATGGGTCCACTCCCTGTCTTCTCTCTTCTTCCCAAGAGCTGACACAAGGTGACTACCTCAGGCTCCTGCTGCCGTGCTCCTCACCGTAACAGATGTGACAAACTGTGAGGCCTAAGAAAGCCTTCCTCCCCTATGCTGCTTCTTGTCTGGTATTTGGTCATAGCAACACAAAGAGTAACTAATACAGATGGTTTTAAAGCAGATCTGGAACTCTTTGAGGAATCTAGGTGCTGTGAAAGAATAAATAAGGTTAAAACAGTATTAAGCCTGAAGAAAAAAAAGAGATTGAGTCTAGTTTCCTTACCCACCACTATAAGGTGGACTTATGAAACCATCTGACTCCCAAAGTCACATTGCAAGGGTGGGATGCCTGCTTTTCAGTTCTCACATGGCTGGAAGAAACCCTAGTGAACACAGTCTCTGAGGACGACCCCAGCTTCAGTCATCGTGAGAGACACCACAGATCAGTGCTCCCTGAGCCCAGTCAGAAGAAACTGGTGGCTGTGTTTTGCCTCCAGTAAGAAGTTGTACACATTACATCACTATGACATTAAATACTCTATAAAATAGAACACTAGGGTACATTTCACAACCACTCTGGTGTGAGCATTATGTGTGTTACTAATGAGTTTGTTTTCTTGTTTATTTTTGTTTCTTTGAGACAGGGTTTCTCTATGTAGTCCTGGCTGTCCTGAATCTCTCTCTGTAGACCAGATTGGCTGACCTCAAACTCACAGAGCTCCACCTGCCTATGCTTCCCAAGTGCTGGGATTAAAGGCATGCACCACCATGTTCTGATTCTTAAGAACTAGTAGTCTTAACACTTATTTTCAGGAGATACAATGTTTTTGTCAAAAGATTATCAGATATTTTTAGGATTCATGGTAATCACTTTTATTAATTTGTTTAAAAATAACGCCATAATAAGACTAGAATTACAAGTCTGTTCGCGTATTTTCCCAAAGCCTGAGAAGTGTAATTTAAAGCTCTAAGTCATCCACAATGGGCATGCTTCATTATTTACCCTCAAAGATCTCTGGGAAGCAAGACTTAGCTCAGAGAGAGGCAGCGCCCATTCCAGCACACAGGCAATAAACTAACAAAGCACAAACTTAGGTCTCCACACCATCTGCCAGCTGTCAAGTGTTTCCTGAAGGAACTGACGTCACTCTCACATTTGTGGATATAGAGCTGCCGTCCTTAGCAGCTTCACAAGTGAGTGGTGTAAACATTAACACATGTACAAATGCAGAAACACACATGTGCATGGGGCTTTCCTATCCTGCTGATTGTGTTGAATAAATTACTTTATTTTTTAAAGCGTGTCTCAATTTTCTCATCTCCAAAGTGGAGATAACAACAATATTTTCCTCAAAGGACTATGGGAGTGAAAATGCAATTAGGATGCTTAGCCAATTGGGCAAATTACACTCAGTGAATGCTATTGAGCACAATAATTCATACACACATACTTGGGCAGTAAAAAGACCAGGGGAAATGATGCCAGAGAGTTACTGTAGTTATAGATTTTAATTTTTCTACTTACATTGTATATTTTCAAATAACCCTATAATGAGCCTGTATTTATTTCACTAATTAAAAAAATAGGCTCTATAAGTACTTAACAGATTAAGTGGTTACTGCAAAGACAAGATTATGAATAACTTTTAAGTACTTTAAATGTGATGGAAATTTTAGTTCTAAGGAAGTTTGGAAAATAAATTAATGTTCAGCCATGTGACATGCTGGGTGCCTGGAGGCCCATGAACTATGGAACTGGAGATCAGTGAGGATAAGGCAGTCGTGGTGGACTCCCTGGAGGAGTTAGTGCTTCAGACAGACACAGGAAGGTGCTTTCTTTTTCCAAAGATTGGTTCTCTCTACTTGTACATATCACACACACAGAGAGAGAGAGAGAGAGAGAGAGAGAGAGAGAGAGAGAGAGAGAGAGAGAGAGAGAGAAGAGACAGAGACAGAGACAGAGACAGAGACACAGAGCAAGTGAGAGCCTTAAGCTCCAACTACACCAGCTATGGAGGGAGTAAACTATCCCTGTGATTATCTAACAGAAAATTTCACATCTAAGCACTTACTCTTTTATTCACTCCCGTACACTATAGTGCACAATATGTGGGCTTGTACAAAAAGCAGGTTCTTGGGAAATGACTCCTGCTCCTATGACAAATTTGCTGTGGACCAGATAACAACAGACACAAACTCCTTAGTGTGGAAGCTGGAGGTCTTGGATCAAGTGACCAGGAACTTCAGCATCCACCATCCTATATGCCCATAACGGGTGTGGGGTGGGGGTGGTGGGGAGAGAACCCTAAGGTTTCTTCCTCTTCTTCTGAGGACATGGATCCCATCATGCGGCTCCACCCTGGTAACCTAATTGCCTCTCTAATGGCTCCTAACCCCATCTCACTGGAGTTTAGACATTTGATCCCCAGATTTGGGGAATACACATTCAGTCTACAGCACAGCATGAGAGAATCCCATGGATAGAAAGAGAGGCATTCTCAAAGATGGAAATGGCAGGTGTTTGTAGGAATAATCCTCCTGCCTCAAACTCTGAAACTTGCCTGCCCAGTTGTGAAAGACATTTAAAAAAATAAATGATGTAGCTAACTTTTACATCAATGGGCTCTGAATATGGCGATTACCCTGCACAGAGTGGGCTGGATCTCACTCATTCTGCTGAAGATCTTAGAGAAAAACACCAACTCCCTGAAGAAGAGGGGAATTTTGTCAACAGATGCCTCTCCCTCAGGCTGCAATAGCAATCCTTTGTGGGATCTCCAGCCTTCCAGTTCACCTTGCAAATGTTGATTCAAAATAAATCCCACTAGCTAGAGAGGTAGGTAAATGTGTGGGCACAGATCTGTCCCATTGGCTCTGCTACTCTAGAGAACACTAATGTGGAGGTTTGCTGCACTGCCCACATAGCTGGGGAAAGGACAGAGGGAAGTATAAGGAAGGAGTTGGTGCAAATGGCTTCCTCCGCTGTGGGTGGGATCAGGAAGTAGAGGAGGTGGTGATGTAATTGGAGTCCCTGAAGCTTAACTCTGATGACATCATGCTCCAACAGGTCCCTATGGCTTTCCAATAAACTCCCAATGACATAGCCTGACCCTTAGAGCTCCGTTCAATCTCTGCTGCTGGCCTCTGTCAAATGAATTTCTTTCCTGCAACCTTTACCCGCTCCCCATGATAAGATCCCATGTGCACATCCTGTGACTTGCATGGCACCCCCAAGAAGGGAGTATTGATTCCTGCTCCATTGAGTTGGAGACTGGTCTACATAACTTGCTTTGTCCAATAACTCGTAACCAGGCAAGCATCCATCTATCTTGGCAGAAACTCTAAATGCTTGTGCAGTTCTGAACTGAGAGCAGGTGGCCCCTGGCGAGCATGGAGAACACTCCCACGGAGATCTTTCTACTATTCAAGTGCTGAGAGTAACAGCTGCCCCTTGAGAAAATTTTTCTTGGAAATCCAGATTTTACACTCTGCCATAGTGTGAAATTGGTTCATTTTCAACAAGGAACAGCCTATGCTGCTGGGGGGGGGGTTACTAGATTGCTTGTGAGTTAAGGTGTTTACATTACAGATGAATAGATTTCTTTGAATCTCCACTCGGTATTTTGGGGGAAAGTGTCTTAAAATGGCATTGTACTTTGTTTTTTATCATATAGCACGACAAGGAGGAGGAGAAAAGAAAGAAGAAAGGAAGGAAAGAAAGAAAGAAAGAAAGAAAGAAAGAAAGAAAGAAAGAAAGAGAAAGATTCTCAACAGCTGGCTCCAGACCTCCAATTTAAGGAAGAAGATTCTTTGTTAGGACAAATTATATATATATATATATATATATATATATATATATATATATATATATATATATAATTTGAGATGGAAAGTGAGACCCCAGAACATGGAAGAATGGAGATGGTGAAAAATGCCTGAGCTACTCTGCTTAGAAAAAATGATGGGGGTAGGAGTAGGGGTAAGGGTGGGGATGGAGGTGAGGGTGGGGGTTGGGCAAGGTATAGAATTGAGATAAAGGAAACTGCAATGAGAGTACAGATTAAGCAAAGGCTGGCCTCCATTTACCATGCCCCCCCAAATCTTACCCCTGCTTCTTGCATTGTAATAGCATCCAACCTGGGCACGTTGCTGTCGAGTTAGAGACCCCACTTCCCAATGGGAATGGAAGCCATCTGCCTGCAGAGAAGGAAAGCTGGCCCTTCCCTGCCTCTGTTCTCTGAAGGACTCCTTGTGCTTTGACCATGACAACTAGGGGGACATGTGCAGGAGGAACCAGGAGGCAGCTAGCCCCACAGAAGCAGGAGCTCCATGACAAAGACCTCACACAACGTCATGCCCCGTTCACGGTACCCCAAAAAGTCCACCACCAAGGAGACTACTCACCGAATGCAAGAACAAAGGTTTCTTTTATTGGCAAGTTGCAGCGTGGATTCCACTGACTCGGGAGCAAATGGAATATGGCTTACAGCTGGGGGGAGGGGTTAAAGGGAAAGTCCAAAAGACTGAAAGCCTCCAGATTAGAACGTTTCCATGGTTTCAAAGATGAAACAATGACTGTATGTCTAGGCAGAAGGCCATTAAATAGGATATTGTAGGGGAAACAAGTTTGTTAATTATCTCCTGGGCCAGGGCTATCTGGTCTTCCTTAGGACAGAGGAAGGTTGACACAGCTGGGGTGTGCTATCTGGTCTCAGGTCTCTGGTCACGTACCCAGTCCTTTGTTGAGCCTTATCTGTCGGCTGCCTTTTGGGAGATCAGAGGAGCTCAGAAGTTTTCTTTTTCCTATATGGGCTTTGGAGTCTAAGTTTTTAGACTTGTATTATTATTTCCCATTTCAACAATGGCAGTCCATAGAAACCTTGGTGAGTGCCTGGCCTTTCTTTGTACGGGATGCAGAATAAAGGGGGTCATTCACTTCAGTCTGGGTCAGAGAGGGCAGGACAATTGAAGTAGCCACCTGGGCCACAGCAGGTAGGAAGCTGTGGATCCCAGGGTCTGCTTGCCAATCTGCCTGCTCCCCTCCACCTCTACAGCTGTCTATTCAGAGGAGAGAGAGCACGAGTGCTGGGACCTTCTTGATTCTCTCTGCCTCTTGTATAAAACCAAGGATAGAAAGAATCTGGCACGCCTGGGCTACCTGGAATTCTCTGTGGGGCCCTTCCGGCTCAGTAACCCTCACAGACACCCTCTGGACTGCACTGTTAGGGTCTCCATTCCTGTGAAGAAACAAATAATCTACTTGGGATCACACAGCTCACTGGTGTGGATTCAAGCCCACCCTCCCTTTGTAACACCGACTCACACTTGGGAGTGTCCCTGCCTCCACCTCCTGACTGCTGGGGCTATGGGCCAATGTGCAGCTCCACTAAGTCCTTCCAAGTCAACGCCACCCTCTTCCACCTTCATCTGTGGATAAAGCATGAACTATTTTAATTAAATTCGCCCTCCTCCCAGGACCCACCCATCCATGCTTCTCCCCCTCTGCGAGGCAGTCTCTATGGAGTTAAAATTCAAAATCAGTAGCTAAAAGCTTCCTGGCCTAAGGGAAGCAAGCCACTTATCCTCACTGCTAAAACCAGTGTAACCATGGCAACCCACTCCCGGGGCTTGTATTAAAGAGACAAATGGTGAAAATGAGCCTAAATCAACCGGGAAGGGAAGGAGAGGTGCTCTTTTCTCTCTAAGAGGCTGGGACAGCATCCTCCTGCACCCCGGGGTGCTAAAAACCTCCACACTCCCTCGGGATTTCTGTTACCCCTCTGGGACTCAGTCCTGTGAAGTAGGTGCTTCCCGGCCCTTGGCCGCCTGCCCTCTCCCAGAAGATGAGTGCTGATTATTTTTGTTCTTGTTGGGTTATTTTGGGGTGTGTGTGTGTGTGTGTGTGTGTGTGTGTGTGTATGTGTGTGTGTATGTGTGTGTATGTGTGTGTGTATGTGTATGTGTATGTGTGTATGTGTGTGTATGTGTGTGTATGTGTATGTGTGTGTATGTGTGTGTATGTGTGTGTATGTGTATGTGTGTGTATGTGTGTATGTGTGTGTATGTGTGTATGTGTGTATGTGTGTGTATGTGTATGTGTGTGTGTATGTGTGTGTGTATGTGTGTGTATGTGTATGTGTGTGTATGTGTGTGTATGTGTATGTGTATGTGTGTATGTATGTGTGTATGTGTGTGTATGTGTGTATGTGTGTGTATGTGTATGTGTGTGTATGTGTGTGTATGTGTGTGTATGTGTGTGTATGTGTGTATGTGTGTATGTGTGTGTATGTGTGTATGTGTATGTGTGTATGTGTGTGTGTATGTGTGTGTATGTGTATGTGTATGTGTGTATGTGTGTGTATGTGTGTGTATGTGTGTGTATGTATGTATGTATGTGTGTGTGTGTGTGTGTGTGTGTGTGTGTGTGTGTGTGTATGTTTTGGGTTTTTGTTGTTGTTGGTTGTTTTGCTTTCTTAGGCGTGGGAGCAGGGTTCCTGAGCCAGGGTTTCTCCGTGTAGCCTTGGCTCTCCTGGAACTCACTCTGTAGACCAGGCTGGCCTCAAATTCAGAGATCCTCCAATTCTGAAAGCTGGGATTAAAGGCCTGTGTCACCACCACCAGGCTGAGGGCTGATTCTTAGGGGATCAGAGTCCCATTATTTTCACCAGCCCTAGCCCACCTCCAAAGAGACCGGAGAGGGGGTACGGGATAAGGAAGGCCTCTTCTGTTTTCCTGTTCACTCAGTGTTTTCTCCCTGTTGTCACACGTTCGCTGACAACTTGTCCTTGGCACCTTCCCCTCCAGGACTCACTGTTAAACGGAAGACGGGCATGAGCAGTGGGGTTGAGAGAAAGGAGCCCTACAAGCCACCTGAGCCCCGTTCCAGTGTGTGCCACCTGGCAAGTCACTGTCAATGCCCACGGCCTCAGATTTCATGGTGAAGCTTCAGGATTGTTTTCTTTTTTTTTTTTTTTTTTTTCTGGTCTCGAACTTAGACCCACCTGCCTCTGCTGGGATCAAAGGCGTGGACCACTGAGCCTGGCTTGAAGCTTCATATTTTAAAACAACAAAAATATCTTAACAGTCATGACTTGACTGAGGGACTTTGAAAAATCTCAAAAGGGAGTTAGCCTGGAAACGATCAAAGAGCCGTAGCTGTGTCTGCAGATGTTGCAATGCCCCTTTGGGGTCAGATGGCCTCCTTGATGCAGATGGGCTTGTTCCCGAAAGCCCAGGGCAGTTTCTCACGTGGGTATACCTCAGCTTCACTATAATACCTTTAGATTGTGGTTTTGACACACACATCCCTCTGTGGGCTTTTCTGGAGGGTCCTCAGAAGAGTGTCTTAAAAATGAAATCTGGCAGCCAGGCACGGTGGCGCACACCTTAAATCCCAGCATTTGGAAGGCAGAGGCAGGCAGATCTCTGTGACCAAGAGATCTAGCCAGCTTCGTCTACCTGTTACTGAGTACCAGGACAGTCTTGAAAAATAAAACTAAACAAAACAAAATGAAATCTGATCCACCATAATTTGGAAGGGGAAAAGAATACTCTTTCGTGAATATGTAGCGCAACACAGAACCCACTGTTGGGCTATCCTGCTTGGTACGTCCATTCGGATTTCTTTTTGAACAACTTACTTGCTTCGTTTTGCTTTATTAAATAAACTTTCTGACCTGTCTGTGTCTCTTGACTGACTGACTTCTTCCAGAAGACAAAAACAAAAACAAAACAAAAAATCCCGGAAGGCCTTCCCTCCCCAACATCAGCGCCAGCTTCTGGTGGGTGCTTTAGCCTCAGGTGTCCTGATCAAGCTTCATCCAGCTTCAGCCAGGGGTGGGGCGACCGGCTATTTTAAAGAGGTCAGTGAAGCAGGTAATCCCATTTATCTTCCTTCCCCCCAATCCCCCCCATAAAGTAAGCTCCATCTAAAAAGCAAATCAACAGCAACAATGAATTTATGTATAAAAACAATTTCTGTGCCGGGCACCAGGCCCATGCCCTACTCTCCATTACCAAATGATTCTCAGACCCTGCCAGACCTGTGGGAAACTGAGCTACACATCTGGGAGGTCCAACCATAGTCTGCTCTCACTTTTGGGTGGGGTGGAAATGAAACTATTCTCTCTTTTTCCTTTGCTGACTTATTTCTTACAAGTATTACCTCATTTGAGCCTCACAGCCATATGAGGACAGTCCCTTCGTTATCCCACCTGATTGAAAAAAAAATGTGATTTTTTTACAGAACAGAAAACTGACATTTGACAACTACAGGTGTGGCTATAGCTCAGTGGAAGAGTGTTTGCCTAGTCTGAGTGAGGACCTGGGTTCAAACCCCAGCATAAGTAAATAAAATAAAAACACAGTAAGCTGAAAACCAGGCAGGATGACAAATGCCTGTAACTCTGACATTTAGAAGACCACACAAGAAGATCACTTGAAGTTCATGGCCAGCCTAGGCTACATAGCAAGGCCCCCCTCAAAACAAAACAAAATGGAAGCTTGACAACCTGCTGCAGATCACCAAGGTTTTAAGTATAGGGCATTTGGATCTATGGCTTTTACTTGCTTGGATTCTGTACTCTGGTCACTGACTAGACAAGTTTTCTTTAGGCCCAGAATTGATTTGTCAACAGGAGATGGTGTTACCGTGTGGTACCGTGTCATGACATCTTACACGCTACCACAGGTACCTCTGTGAGTGGAAACCTCCCCCGTGGAAAGGAAGTCCTGACTTGAACCGACTCATGTGTACAGTGGTCACCCAAGTGTGGCAGCAGACACCCTTTTTGATGTGGCTTCCCTCTCAGGTTTACCGTGTGAAACTGTTAAGAGGGAAGTAACGTCCCTTCTTCCATTTGACTCAGTCCCTACTCATCTTGGTGGCAGCGCCGTGGAAAGCAGAAAAATGTGAATGGACACCGAGGATGGGTGAGCTTGCTCGCTGGGCGTAGGTGGCCGAGAACCTGACCGTCTGCTGCTTGGAGATGGAAGCCGTTCCAAGAGCTGAGCAGTCTCTGTCAAACTGACCAACAGGCACAGAGCGTTGCCAGGAAGGAAACGGAGAAGAACGAGTTCATTGCAAGGCTCTCAAGCGTGCGAGCCGCTGTATCATGCTCCCCTGTCCGCATGTCCCTCTCGTCTTGCTGGCCCTTTCCCCATCCAGGCAGCCCCCACTTTGCTTTGTCTTCTGTGCATAGGCGCATGAACATAAAAACCTAGGCTCCGCTTATAAGAAAAAACACGTGCCGTTTGTCCTTCTAAGATGGGCTCATTTTGCTTAACATCCTCTCCGGTTCCACCCGTTTTCATGCAAATGATGTGATTTCAATCCTTACAGCAGAGTAAAATGTCATTGTGGAAATAAAAAAAAATAAAGACGATAACTATTATCCCTGATAGTTATAAAAGTTTTAATAAAGTAATATTAGATGATATTAAAATAAATAAAATAAAGATGAAATAAAATAGAAAAGGAAGAAATAATAGGAAAGGAGAAACTCATTAAAAGAATGAGAGGGTCAGGTGCCTTTTTTTGTCTTGTTTTGGTTTGGTTTTTTTGGTTTTTTTTTTTGTCTTTTTTTTTTTCCTATCCATTCACAAAGAATCCTGGCTCTCCCTTGGCTCTCACACCATCAGGGAACTTTCCTCAATCTCTGAGCTTCCCTTTCTCTCAGGGGCTGGTAGCTTGTGAGGGTCGCAGTGTAACACCTCATCCTGTTGCCTACAGCTCCCAGCACAGGGCCAACCCCGAGATGGCCTCAGAACCCTCTTGTGAATGATCCAGGAAACTCTGACACCTAGAAGGAAGCCTGAGGAGCCAAATAAAATCAGAGCAATCTTCTCCTGAGGGTACACATCCTTGGCTTAAGAAACTAAGCTGCTACCATGTGGAAACTGGAAGTAGAGTGGATCCCAAGGATTTTCTAGATACTTCTAAAAGGAAAGCCAAATGTCAAAATGCAGCAGGAAGCTTTAATATGGTAGAGGGAGCCTCACCACACTTCAGTGGTAGCTTTCACTTGGGTTGAGAACACTTTTCTTTCCTTTACTTGAGTAGTATGCATATATCCCCACCCAGGCACACACAGGTTCAAGGTTGAGTTCTGGAAGGAAGTATATCACAGAGTATAGGCAGCCAGGACTCTTGTCATACATAATGTATGCACTTGAGTGTGTGCGTACACCTAATCATTGTGCCACAGAAGCCTCTGAACCACTCTCCCACTAAGTTGCTTGTCAGGGTGTTCTGTTTTGAGGGTAGGGCCAAGAAAAGAGGGTCACTGGCTGTTCAGGCTCTTTTACAGCAGGGAGGAGCAGTTTCTGTGAACTGAACCTCGAACAGCCGCGCAAAGGCTTATTTATTGATCGTTACATAAAAGTTGTTTGGTGTTCAAACAAGTTCCTCATACCAAAGCCCCTGATCTAATCTATGTTTTCTGAAGGAAATCATCACACCCCAGCAACTTTAGTCCTTATAGTGTACTGTTTGCAGTACCAAATAATTCAGCACACCTCCAGGTGTGTCAGGACCATCTTGTGACCAAAGTCATGCAAAGGCTGTAAACTTCCTTCAAAAAAACAACTCTATAGACAACAGAAAATAATCACCGTCTTCCACGATGATTTCCTCAAGGTCTAAGTACCTCTAGAAAACAACTATTCATTCTGATGTTTACCCTAGATACAGTGAAAACAACTACTTCATTCTAATGTTTAACCTAGATACAATGATTCTACTGGAGTTCTACTACAGTTGGATTTCTGTTCCTTACCAATATTCTCAACAGGTTAAGAAATGAGACTGTGGGGTCTCAGTGGTAGAGCACTTCCCTAGCTTTAGTAAAGCCCTGTGTTCAGTTCCCACAACTGTTAACAATTAGAGTAAATTAAAACAAATTAAAAACTTAAAAGAGAAAGGCAGGGCTAGATATTTAGCTTGATGTGCAAGGCGCTGCCTTCGATTTCTAGTATACACAAAACACACACATTCTGATCATAAATTTGGGTGAATTTTTATCCTTCTCAAGAACTCTGATGCAATTTGACGGCTGTTGGTTTCAGTGTAACTTTTACCATTCTTTTGTCTAAAAAATGTTTTAAGGTATAACAAAATAATTTAAGGTGTACAAATGCAAGTTATCAGATTTCTTTCTCATTATGCTACTGTTCATAGTCTTAACATTAATCAATAAAGTTCTGATAAGTTATTAATCAAACTCTGACAGGGTACTAACATACTATATCACTGTACGATAACTGCAAGGTTAAGATTAAGGTGCTTTTCATTGTGCTAAAGATATCTGTCAGTTTTAAAAGTGTTAATTCTTTCAGTCAAATCATTTCTGACATGAGTATTCTGCTAATGTGTCTAAAATTTATGTTTTCACAAGCTCAAAGGATTCTTGTAAGTTCCAGGAAGCTGAATTGGATCCATCCAAACAAATCAGATTCACTCCAGATAAATATTAGTAAACCTTTCCCTGGTCCTGGGACTCCCTTCCTCATCTCGGGACCCCCTCGGGAACCCCTCCCTCATCTTATGATCCTCCTCCCCTCAAGCATTAGGACCTAAGAATTTTTTTTTCCAAAACTTAACTTTGTCCTCGCTCTGCCAACATCTTGCCAGGTCTAAGAGGCACCAGAGAGTTCCATACAGCCTGGTCTGTGATGAAACAACCAGCTACCCCAGGATGTGAAAGCCTTCTCAGGTCCCCAAAGATGGCCCCCAGGTCAGCATGAAGCAGTCTTGAGAACTTGACGTCCTTATTCCCTAACTTTTCACATCTAACTCCTCACCTTTTTAATAATAAGTTAAGGTGAGAATGTAAGGATTCAGGCATTATGCTGGCCTGCCCCTGGCAGAATACACTCAGGCAGTACTCTGGTCAGCCCAGGGTGCCATGCGTACTAGTCTGCAGGCAGGAGCAAAAGACCCTTTTAAAAAAAATCCCCGCCCACTTAGGCTCTCTTACTGCTCTTTCTGCTCTCTCTGCTCCCCTCTCTTTCTGCTCCTGTCTCCCTCTTCTCTTCTGTCCTCCCTCTGTGTCTCTTTATCTCTTTTTTCTTTCTTTCCCCATCCCTTCCCTTTCTAATGAAACTTCTCACTCAAGCTCTGTCTACCTGGAGTGTTTGTCCCCCACCCTGGTCACCCTTGCCAGCCTTGGAATCCACCATGGTCCTCCACGCAGGACCCCTTTCCAGCTTTATGTTAGCATGGGTGCAAAAGAACAACACACCCACATACACACACACACACACACACACACACACACACACACACACACAGAGAGAGAGAGAGAGAGAGAGAGAGAGAGAGACAGAGAGAGAGAGAGAGAGAGAGAGAGAGAGAGAGAGAGAGAGAGTACCAGGCATCTACATACCTCCATTTTTGTTAATAATGATAAATGAGGGCTAAATGAACTTGCTGTCTGAACCACAGAATCAGAAGGTTCCCCATGATGCTTAGCAGTGCTCAGCAGGAGTGAGGTGGAGAGAGGCCAACACTGAACCTCCTGCTAGAAAAAGACACATAACACCATGGATAGCATGCTCAGGCCTTGGCCGGTCCTGGCCCCAGAGAATAACTAGAAAAGCAGGAACAAACACTCACAGTGGCTTCTCCACATGTACTAATGAAATGTGTCACTCTACCTCCAGGATTGGAATGCATTGTGCTGGGGTGAGGGTGGGGTGGAGGCACGAGGGGTGGGGATGTTAATTAGGCTCCCTTTGCCGGAAGAAGCACCAAGAGTGAGAAGACAAGCAGGAGTCACACTGAATACTATGAAGACACAATGTTGATTTGCACATTGTCTCCTACTTACAGTCATGAGCCTCTGAGAGGAAGCCTGCAGTTTGCTGGTGTTTGTCAAGGTCTTGTACTCAACACATTCATTTTTGCAAACCGACGGACCCCGCAGTTCAGAGAGGTTCAAGCTCCTTCACATCCACTACCGTGGAAACATGGGCAAATCCTCTACCAAGAAGTTGTAAACCACATCTGACTCAGGCCTGATCTGAACTGATCAAACCGCACCTTAAAAGTTTGGAGATCTGGAGTTGGCAAGATAGGTTGGGGGCTGGGGGAGCAAATGTGCTTGCTGCCATGCCTGAAAACCTGAGATGGATTCCTGGAACCCACAAGGTAGAAAGAGAGAACTGACTCTCCCAAGTTCTCCTCTGACCTCCACACAGGTGTATGGTGTTTTCAGACATGAACACCCCACACACAAACACCCTCACACACACACACCCCTAATACACATAAATAAAAAAATAAAAATAAATGTCTTAAGTACTTTTTAGTTTCTAAATTGGTAGCACTTATTACTCAAGAGGTTTTTGCATAAAAGCTGTGATTGTGTCTCCTGAAAACTTGGAACACTTGTCACAATAGACTGAGGCAAAGACGGCTCAGTTCTTCACCTCTTGGTGTCTACATATTTTACAGCGTCCCTTTACAATTCTACCCGTGAAGACTAGAGTCTGTCTCTACCTTGTGTCTCTGTACTTGCCTTGTGACTTGGGGGGCCAGTGTGTCAGTTCTGGGATCTCTCTCTCTCTGGGAATCCTTCCAAGATTCTAGGCAAACAAGCTTGGGCTAGCCTGCTGGATGCTGAGAGAGCTCCAGCCGATGTTACACAACTATGGGGCCGGGGTAGTTATGGCGTATAGATTGAGCTAAACCAAGAGAAGCAGTTTTAGCTGTCTCGGCCAAGGCTAAAGACAGAGAAGAGTCCAGCTCAGCTCAGCAGAGTCAACCTAATGACCAAGCTCGTGTAAGAGCATTCAGTTAGCACTGGGGGAACTCTCTAACACCATATCCATATAAGCTGTAAACAATAATAAATGGTTGTTTTAAGCTACAGTGTTTCAGAGTCATTTGTTATACAACCACAGTTCACTGACACATCTGGCCACATCAGGCAACACTTAGTTAGGTCAAGACTTGAGATGAGGCAACCCCCCACACACACACACACAGAATATTTGCAACTCCCCACTATTCTTTTTTTTTTTTTTTTTTTTTTTTTTTGGTTTTTACGAGACAGGGTTTCTCTGTTTTGGAGGCTGTCGGTCCAGCCTGGCCTTGAACTCACAGAGATCCGCCTGCCTCTGCCTCCCAAGTGCTGGGATTAAAGGCGTGCACCACCACCACCCGGCAACTCCCCACTATTCTTGCATCCTATATTGTCTCTCAGACACAGTAGCTGAGTGACAGTTGCCACTAATTATCACTCTTGAATTGTGTTTCTCGTCATTGGATTACGAGTGAATTTAAAAGGCCTAATAACCATGCTACAGAGGCTTGAATGCCTAAAGTGATGGAGGTAAGAAAAATGGGAAGGTGAAGAGGAAGCCGTCTTTTAAGAGTGACCTCCTGCCCACACATCCCCTTTAGATACTATATATTTAGGTCTCGATTTAATCCCTCTCAGCCTTGATTTTCTCTGTAAAATGGGATTATACGCATGTGTTGAAGAAGCCTTTAAGAAGCAAATCAGGCCTGACAGAATGGCATATTGGTTAAGTGCATAAACTCAGAAGCCTGAGCACCGGTGTTTACATCCTAGATCTGTCATTTGCTAGCTAAACTTTCATGTCGCACCTGCCCTGCCACACAGATGTTTATCAAAATTGTTCCCCCGCGCTTTTCCTCTGTACAAATTCTTTCTAATCCTTGCATCTCTCCAGAAAGGGATTAACAATCAACGCAAACTTTAAACAAGATTCTTACTTCAGCTGCTCACGGTGGTACAGGCTTTTAATCTCAGCACTGGGGAGGCAGAGGCAGGTGGATCCATGCGAGTCGGAGGCCAGCCTGGGCTACATATCGAGTTCTCAGCCTGACAAGACTACATAGGGAGACCCTGTCTCAAGGAACAAACAGAAAAAAACAAGATTTTCATTTTAGTAATATGTTAAGAACTCAGAAACCAGAACAAAGTTTTGTTTTGTTTTTAATATAAAATAGCTTTCATGAGAATTATAAAACATTTATACCTTCTGGTCAAAGCATAGACATTCTGTGATGATGCCTCTGAAATACAGAAACAAAACATGTGGTTTATTAGTGCTCATTCGATGCAATGAAATATTCAACCACAAAATAAGTATCACCACGGGAAACATGGGAAGTGTGTAAAAATAATGCTGAGTGAAAGAAATGTGTATACAATACAGTATGCTAATGGGAATGATATATATACATAAAATATATGTATGTGTTTAAATAATCATAAGAGAATATAACAAAGTAAATAGCTGTCACTATGAAAGTTTGTAAGATTTTATTAAAACTACATATGATTTAAAACACATAAAATTCCTAAAATATAGATTATTATCTTAAAATTTTAGTCATTTTTAGGGCAGGGTTAAAGTGTGTTGCAATATGTTATTTTACTGACATTTATCAACACATTTAATTTAGAAAATTAGTATCTATTAGTGGGAGGTGTGAGACCAGGCTATGGTAAAATTTTGTTCCCTTAAAGCTTGTGATTTAGATGCTTACACTCACTCTCCCTCACTTCCACCTCCACACCCGCATTCATCCCCCAGAAGCCAAACGGAGCAGAATAAAATTCCAGCATCTCCAGCTGCAGATCTGAGTGTGCCAGGGGAAATAAACAAGTGCTGGCCCAGTGCTCTTCATTGATGGGAGGACACTGTGCTCAGCCAACCCCTGGAACAGCTCTCCCTGGGTCTGCAACCCAGGCTCCTATTGCCCAGGAGAACTTCACACCAGGGTGTTACCAAACTGCTCAACCCACAGCATACTCGCTATGGGAGGACCATCTGGATGTTACCACTGGGGAGAGACGTACCTTTACCCAGCATTCCTCAAGAAGAGAGGCAAGGATTTACTTAGACCTGCGTCTTTTATGTTTATAAAGGCGGCTACTGTATACAGATGTCTTAATTGATGAGCTAGGTGTACTCTCCGCTTGTATCTCACCAGGTGTCCTGGTTAGGTTTTGTTAACAAGGTGTAGGAGGAGGAGCCTCAACAGAAAATGCCTCCATTAGAATCAAGTTTGTAGGGTGTTTTCTTGATTAATGATTGATGTGGGGAAAAGCAGGCTGAGAAAAACCATGAGAAGCAAGTCAGTAAGCCGTGTTTTTCCATGGCCTCTGCATCAGCCCCTGCCTCCAGCTTCCTGCCTTGGTGTTGTGGGATATTTGTTTATACTGTGTGAAGATGTATCACTGTGATTGGTTTAATAAAGAGCTGGATGGCCAATAGCCAGGCAGGAGAGAACAGGCAGCACTTAGTAATAGAGATAAAAGCTTGGGATGAATCGAGGCACATAAGAGATGCCAGCAAGACACAGAGAGAGTCAGAGGTGTGAAATGAAAAAGAGGTGAATAGCCACATGGCAGAACATAGATTAATAGAAACAGGAAGTTTTAAGTTATCAGAACTAGTTGCAAACAAGCCTAAGTTAAAGGCCAAGCTTTCATAATTAATAATATGAATCTGTGTCATTATTGGGGAACTGGCCGTCCCAAGATAGTCTGACTACACTTTGACTTCCAGGATGATGGGGCGGGACCCTGTAAACCAAGCAAGCCCTGTCCTCCCCAAGCTGCTGTTGGTCATGGAGTTCATCACAGTAACAGAAGGGAAACCAGAAAACTCCTATTTCAGTTGGTTCGGTTTGCACTTTCCTAGGGCTCGACAGGCGATAGTCAAACAATAGACAGGGTCCCAGGGCCCCAGGCCCACAGCTAAGCTCTTGCTATTCATCTATCCCACTTAAGCCCCACAAAATCCACAAGAAAAGTATTGGAGCTGTTTCATCTTGTGGCTGAGAAAATGTGGGACTTGCCTTTGATCACACAACCAAGGAACAACCAGGAGAGAACTGAACCTTAGCTCCTCCTGAGAAGGTCGAGTCTAGTGTTTCTCTTCACTCCACATGCCCTGATGCAAATCCTGTAAAATAGCATCAGGACACTTGCTAACCACGCAGGAAAGCTAGACGTTCCTGGAACAGTAACAGCAAGAAAGACTGTTATCTTCAATAGCGTATGCATGCTATCCTGGCTCCAAAATGAGCTCACTTTGGAAACAGTCTCCTAAAACAACAATGAGGTTATTTTTAATTGCTCCAAGTGCGTGGTGCTGGCACCAGCTCAGCACCAGAAGGGACTTTCACTGTCCTAGAAACTAGTCACCTCTTCTGCAAATAAAGTTGTAGTGACTGGGAAATCAAGTGATGGCGAGGCCTCACGGAGGGCCAGTCCCTCCCCGACTTGGCACGTCTTGCCTAGCTAGCTCTGTCCCTTTCTTCCTCTTGCTGTCTCCATGTCTCCAGTAACCACACTGTTGGTTATTAGCAAGCTTTGTCTGCGTGTTGGGCTGCCTGCTTCTCAGAGCTCTGCAGAAAGATTCTCAGCCCAACCACACTCTAGTCCCGTGACCCTACAGCAAAGAAAGGTTCCCTTGTTCACACTTATGGCGGCTGCAGCCAACACGTCTACAGAGCTGGGGGAAACTGCCTCTCTAGTCTTCGCACAGATACACACAATCGTGCAAGAAGAAAGAAACAGCTTTGCTCAACGTTTTAAATTTTGTATTATTTTTATCATGTGTATGGGTGTTTCCCTGATGTACAGTGATGGACCACATGCCTTCT